TTCACTGGAAAGAACACCAAAAATCTAGCTAAAGTCTCACACGGTTTGGAGAAGTGTATCGATCACAATGAACACGAGTCGGATACGTGCACTTGGGCGAATCGCGTCTTCTCCTGTTGGATATCTGTGAACCGGCCGATTGTGCGCAAGGCCTATATTCAGAATTAAGCTGGACGTATGATTCGGTTGTGATTATAGAGATGTGAAATTATGTATATATTATAAAATATTTTTAACTCTGCGAAATTAAAATGCAAAGATTCAAAAGATATTGAAAAAATAAAAAATAAAATAATATTTAAATGTCTGAGAAATGCATTTAATTAAGATAATAAAAAAATATTTAATAAAATGTGGTAGACTGCAAAAGAACTGCAGTATTATTTAGAAATTAATGTATATTATGTGTATTCAGGTATATGTGAATCTATAATAATATAATATTTTATGAATTTGCGTCCGCTTCTTCGGTCTTCTGCTGAACTTGCACTTCTTTTGTTTTTTTGCTCGCAATCACTGCACTAAGCGTCGTCGTTTCCAATGGGTATGAACCGTCTGTATTGTAGTTCAATCGTTCCAAACAATTATACTCCTCATACATCCATTCACACTTGTCGCGGTTCTGCATTTGCTCAGCGCTTACCTTGCATACATCGGAAGCTTTGCGATTTTGTCGCATTGGACCGAATGCTTTGACCCAGTTGTCGAAGTTCCACTCGTAGGTGGGCGTGTAGAAATTCATTTTTTTTGCTAGGCATTGGAAGAGACAGGGTACCACTTCTTTGGAGGGAAAAGCGGCGTACTTTTGTAGCTCCTCCATGGTGACATTCAGCTCGTTGGCACAACCCAAAATGTTTCTGTAGGTTTCGAGAGTGTAAAGTTCAGCCTGCATTAGGGATAGTCATAAAGAAATATTATAACAAAAGATTAGAGAATGTCGCTCAGTTGTGTTTAAGTTTCGAAATATTAGTGCTGTACGTAGTGGTTTTAATTTCATAAACGTGTCCGAGCAAAGTAGGCTCGCCTTTTGGAAGCCATCAGTGTTAAATTTTTTCGCAGGTTGGGGGTGTTAAACTAGGTATCAGCTGCAAAAAAGGACGCCGATTCATAGATATTTGTGACCTACATATGTATGTATATAGGGAGGTAAAGATGGAATCAAGGAGTATTTTCTATAATAAGAAAATAGAGACCGAAATACGCGACAGGAAACACGCTCGAAATCGTACCTGAAAGTTATGACGACTAACGGGAGGTTTTAAGACTTGTGAACACTGGCGTCAGCACTGAAAGTAGTAGAGAGGACGAACCCCAGCCCCCAGTCGATGATGACGGAGGCCCTGCGGAATAGTAGCATGCACTGATAACCATTACACTACACTACTATTTTTCGATTTCAAAGCCGTTTTCGCCGCTTTCGAAGTTGTCTTTATGCCGCGATGTCTGAATTTGGTATCACAGCGAAACTAATGCGGCTATGTTTAGTGACGTTCAGCATACCATCAGCTCCACCAGAATCAGGAAGGGCCTATCCGAGCCGTATGANATTTAGCTTAGCGCATTCTAAAATGCCACCACAGAACGCTGTTGTAGCTTTGGAAGTATTTTTCTCAACACGAGACTTCTATAAAAGTTTACTATCTAAGGTAAGATATCGGAAGGAATTTGAATAGTGGCAGGGGGAACAACGCCATCCGTCCTTCTCCTTCAATTGAAAAGCACAGCACTACTTTTGGTTAGGTTAGCGGACAGCTCATTCTCACTAATCCTGCGTTAAATTTGACCACCAGGACCCTATAGCCAAACATCAGAGCAATCACCGCCCCTAGGACAGTCACTATGTTGACCCTATAGTCTTTATATATATGAGATTCACTAGACCTCAGGGTTTTCGGCTAGAACTGCCTTACATTTTTCCACTTGTGTTTACAACTTTTTACATCACTTCTTACCTGCTTCAAACAACGGAATCCGGAGTATG